TTTGGTTGAAGCCGCCACTTGCGAAAATATTTGCTCAATATATATATATATATATATATATATATATATAATATATATATATATATATATATATAAGTCTGCCGTCAGAACTTCTTCAGATGTTTCTAGTGTTCGGCATTGTGTAGTGAGGGCCCAGTCATCGGCGTATCCGAACTTTATATATATATATATATATATATATATATATATATATATATATATATAATATATATATATATATAAAGGTTAAAGTAATATATAAATATATATGTATGTATACCCATCGGAAATCGTTGTGAACGATTTCCGAAGTGGAAATTGAAACGTCAATAAACGTATTTTTATCTTTAATTGTGGCTTATTCCCAGTTAAATAGTAATTAATTTACAATGCCACAAGAAAATAACTTCAGAACAATATTCTTATGAAACGTTTTCAAATTTTGTTTCTAATTTTTCTAATTCCTTTTTCTGGACAGTCTTAATATCTTTCATTTTAGTTTCTATTTCTTCTCTCTGCATCTCTAGTTTCCTCTCTGTTTCTTCTCTAACTTTTTCTAAACAGACTTTTACATCATTTTCATATTTGTCCAAACGCTTTTCCATTTTCCTATCATTTTCTTCTAATTTTTGTTAATAGTTTTTCAAACGCTGCTTTATATTCCTGTTATTTAGTTCTATAGCTTGTCTTATTTCCCGTTGGTTTTCTTCCATTTTTAGTGATGATTCTTGTATTTGTTGTGTCTGTATTTGCATCATTGCTAATAATTTTTCTAACATCCCTGTTTCTTTTCTTTCCTCCGTTATTGTAGCGTTTCCTTCATTATCCGATCCTTCATCAACAATTGTTTCCTCTTCTCTTTTACCCTCCTTCCTTTCTTGCATTTTGCTTTGACTCCTTGTGGTCGACATGTTCGTTAGATTATTTATCCCCGCCAAATATGAAGCTTTGAAATTTGTGCAATAATATGAAATTCGAGTAATCTTGCAAAGACGAAAACTTTTCCTCTTATCTCAAATGCAATAAATTCGAATAAATGCAATAAAATTTAAAACTTTTGTCAGTTATAAAAATCAATCAAATATCATAAAATATATCATGCAACAATTTGTACCTAGAGAAATTTGAAATTTTATGTCATAAAAGCAAATATTATAAACTTTAACCATCGGCAAATAAATTTTCAATCAATCTGCTTTCCTTCTCTATCCGTTTACTGGTAGACAGGGTTCTCGTGAAATAAAGTTGTCACCGCGCATATATAAATTTGAAAGTAGGGGTTGAGCCACTTCAAGCAAAGGCATTCGTGCGCCGGACGTTCTATGGGTAGGTGTTCGATATTTTTACAGTGTTGCATTGTTTCTTTTTATTTTAGTTGTACTTGTTCTATACAAAAGTTCTTTTCAGAACTCTGCTAAAATTAAAAATTTTAAAGGTAAGAAGATAATTTTTTAATTTATATTATTTATTAATATGTATAATAAAAATCAAATATATTTTTTTTGCTGCAGATAAATTGTACATTGTGAGATACAATTGTAGCGTTTTCTCTACTCTGCTATTCATTTCTCCTTTTAGAGTTCTTTTATTCCTTTTTGTGCATAATTTTCTTAATCATTTCTTTTATCCTTAATAATTTTGTCCTTATATATTCTAAATACTGTTGGGCTAAGTGCTCCTCCCTGTCTTAACCTCGATGTATTGTAAACGTATGTGATATTGAATTGTTACTAATTACGACATTGTTGTTCTCATTGTATATTCTTAGTAGCTTGTTGTTCATTCCTTTTTCTCTTGGTATTTTCCGTAGTTTCTGTCTTGGTACGTTATTGAAGGCTTTTTCTCTTTTGTCGCTTTTTGTGTTATCTGTTTTAAATTAAATATATATGATCCTGTATATTTCTACAACTTCTAAATTCACTTTGTCCTTCGTCTGTGTGTGTTCTAACATTATTCTTAATAGTTTGTTTATTATTTTTTCGAAGAGTTTCATACATGTACATATCAACGTACATATATATAATTATCGCCCTATATAAATATTTACTTTGAATGGTTAAATACTTACAAGTAATTAAGTTTTCCAAGTAGGATCTTTTAAAGTGAAAGTATCTTAACTGTATTGTAATGACATCATAATTACTACTGTTTGGTAAATACCTAAATAAATAAATTTGAATCAAATCATTATTTATGGATCTACACGTTATTTGTACCTAACCAAAAAATCATTCCTTTATCCTTTCTTTCGCAATTTACTGTTTCTATCATATATATTGGCAATATCAATAATTTCCTATCATAAATATTGGCAATATCAATAAAGTCATATACTTTAAAATGTTGATATAATATATGCCTGAATTTTTAATATGAATGAGTCAGATAAGTTAAATTATTAGAAGAATTTTTTTACCAAGCAACAAAAACAATGGAAGTCGTCAAATAAATTTAATTTCAAACTTAAATTGTGGCTTACTGCCAAATAAAATAGTAAATTGCATAATCTACCACAAGCAAATAGCTTCCGAACAATATCATTTTGGTAGGTAGTACGATACTAAAAATTCCCAATATTACTGTGATCATCCACATCTTGACAACATTGCAAACATTTTAAGATCTAGCCAGTGATTATTCAACGTGAATTCACGCGTAAATATTCGGGTATGTGTATCCTTTTTTGATTTTAAACTTTCTCACCCTGCGCAGTGCAAGCTCCGCCCATTTCACGGCATCCCTGTCGGCCTGTAAATTTCAACTAGAAATACTTTCTACGCCCACGTTGGGCGCCATTTGTTATGATTGTTTATTTTGACTTTGATCTTAGTTTATTGAACCAATAAAAAATATAACTTAATTGTTATCAAATGTAAAATAAAACTCCTTATATTACCTGTGTTCGATGGATTCAAAGATTTTCTAGTTGTCCTTTATCGGGATAGAGAAAAAAGATAATAATAAAAGAAAATATTATATTAAAAAAAATTATGTTTCTTTATTTTATATGAACGAATACAACAATTATCAAATTCTGCCGTTATCTTATCAATCAGCATACAAGAAAATAAATGAAATTTTTATAATAAGAAGATGTTAAATCTACATACATTTATATTAAGTGAAAACCAATTTTACTTAAATTTTCCTTTACTTGAAACAAGAAACAACAAAACTTTAAACTTTTGATTAGTCTAACAAACCTCAGTTCTTAAATTTGAATGCTAATGACCATGATGTCAACACATATCCTTCACAGATATTAATTTTAATTGTACAAAACACTTACAGCTTTTTTTCTTATTGAGTTGTATGTTTGAACATACCCAGAAAAGTCCAGTCTCCTCAACGATGTGATCTCTCCTTTTTTGGCACCGCGACTCCTTCCTAACGTCTCTGCAAACCTCCTGCTCTAACCAAAAACACCTGATTCACTTCTCCAAAAACTCAGCTACTTATTAATGACACAAGGACTTCCTTTTGTCAATTTGATGCCGTAAAACTACTTTCACATATAGTCACAAAATGCCCACGGTAGATACAAGGACCTCTTTTAATGTACTTGTTATCTCCTTCCGCAAAACTATTCAATTCTTTTCACAATGCCGGTATCCAACTCACGAACCACACCCTATCTTGAGACAAACGACTGTTTTCTTCGATGACCAAATTATAACTAACTTCTCCGGTTCTCCTGATCGGCTCACAAATTCCCATTCAAAAACGACCGTCCAATCAAAAGCTCAAATTGTGTTTACCATGATTTTGGAAAAGCCTAATTTCGGTTTCAGAGAAAAACTGAACAGCTTACTTTAAAATTGGTTTTGTCAATACACAATTTATACATATTTCAAAAGATTAGAATATGGTCATTTAATACTCGATTATACAAACAATGAAAAGATTAACTTACAGGTAAAATTGTCTTCTAATTCTAAACAAAGGTTTTTTAATAATTTTATTGGAAACGGACAAACAAATTTCTATTCTTATCTACACTAAATCTTATCTTAAATTACTGTATACAATTTGTTTATACTGATTTAAAATTTTATTTTGATGGATCTTTTTATTTATTTTTCTCTGGTTGGGAAAGAAGAAACATAACAATATATATATATATATATATATATATATATATATATATATATATATATATATATATATATATATATATATATATATATATATATATATATATATATATATATATATATATATATATATATATTGATCGGAAAGATTTCCGCGGTTAGTACAATAAAACCTAAAGCTAAGATTAATATTATTACTAAAATTAATATCAAACTCACCAGTCTTCCGGGTTGAACCGCGTCGGTATCTATTTTGCCAAGCTTTCGGCATCCTCGAGAGACTGAGACCTCGGAAGCCCTGAGGAAGGCATCAGAGAGGATGCCGAAAGCTTGGCAAAATGGATACCGACGCGGTTCAACCCGGAAGATTGGTGAGTTTGATATTAATTTAAGTAATAATATTAATCTTAGCTCTAGGTTTTATGGTATTACATTCTCATTTGGGGTTCTGATGTCTCATCCTCTGTCTCTTCCCTGAGGTTCTTCATTTGGCAACTTTCCAAAGTACTCATACCCTCTGCTTATATATATATATATATATATATATATATATATATATATATATATATATATATATATAATATATATATATATATATCGGGAAGAACCGCACCGCGCGTTGAGAATTTATTACTCGACGTTTCGGCACCCATTTTGAGCCATTATCAAGAGTGATACGGTTCCGTTCGAGTTCGGGGTCTCAATCTGCCTACTCCCCTCACTCGTGACGTACCAACATTGTGTTCTATGTAAATATATAAATACAAGAACCGTCAAACGGCACTGAGGTCTCAATATGCCTACTCTTCAGTGCTTACTCTTCAGTTTCGAATGACGTCACTCGACACTGAGGAATAGGCCATTGGATGGTCACACACCAATAAAACGTTTTCTATTTATTTTCAGGTACTTAATAGGAGAGCTACGTTTACCTCATATTGTCGGCTGGGTCCGAGATACATTCAACATAGACATAGGCGTTCAGAAACCAAAAAAAATTCAGGAGTTACCCAATGAAGATAAATATCCAAAGCCAAATATTACAGACGAAGCTTTAGAACAAATCAGTAAATTAGGAATATCTTATTCAACCAAGGTATGATGTATTAAATATATTACAGGCAAAATATTCAAATTTACTTAAACAGGCAAAATATTTTTTTCAAATTTCAATTTCAAATAAGACTACAACTAAATGTAAAATATAAAATGGGAAAATATTTTCAAATTTATATAGCAATGAGTTAATGTGTTGTCACGAATGTTCTTCTTTTTCTTTCTCAGCTTTTTCCTTTTCAGGCGTCGATGTTCTTCTTCGCCACTCATTTCTGTCCATCATGTCGTTTTCATTTAAACCTTTCTCTCCAAGTACTCTGCCACACAGCCTTTCCATATCCTCCTCGGGTTTCCTCCACCTCCCTTTCTCTCAAATTCTAACAGCTTTATTCTTCGTCCCACATAGTTCTTATTTCTACGTCTGACGTGACCAAACCATTTTGTTCTTTTTTGAGAATGGTCACCCCAACCCTTTCCCTAATCAAGTCGTTCCTGATATTATCCCTTCAATTCTGACCAAACATCCACCATACATATTTATTTCAGCTACCTCGATCTTCTTTTTCTGAACCTTCGTTACAGGTCACATTTCACCGCCTTACACCAACGCGGGCCTCACCACACTCTTGTATATATTTTTCTTTAGCCTTTCCCCGATTTTTCGATCACAAAGTACCTCACTTATTTGCTTCCAGTTAAAGCAACCGCCTGCATCCTGTGGATGATTTCTCGATTTCTCTCTCTGTGTAAGATCTAAAATATTTAAATTCTCCTACTCGTCCTAGTTTTTTCCCAAGCAACTTAATGTCCCCAACCAGTCCTGTTCCTCCCAACCATATCTACTGAGTTGTCGATCTGCTAACCTTAAATTCTCCCTCTTCAGTAGTCCTTCTCCAACCGTCCAAATTCTGCTTCAACGTTTCTTTGTTCTTCTAAACTAACGCGATATCATCCCCACAGAGCATTGATCAACTCCTCCTTTATCTTCTCTGTCAGTACTCTCTTAACAACATTAACCTTCGCTCTGCAGTTCTCTCCCAAATTTTCATTGTGTGCGACGTTAACTTTATCCCTCTATAGTTCTTAGAGTCCTAAATGTTTCCTTTATCTTTAACAATAGGGTAATCAAGCTCACTCTCCGTAAATTGGGCATCCTTTCTGCCTCATTTATCTTACTTATCATTTGCCACAACACATTAACCCCATCGTCTCGTCTAGCCATACAAACCTCCACAGGTATTCCATCACGTCCTACTGTTTTACCATTCTTAATTCTATTTAAAGCGTCGACAACCTCATCTCTCGTTATCCATGGTATTACATTCTCATTTGGGGTTCTGATGTCTCATCCTCTGTCTCTCCCCTGATGTTCTTCATTTAGCAACTTTCCAAAGTACTCATACCCTCTGCTTTATTTTAACATCTGATCGTAGCACTCTTCTATTCGTACTGTTATTTTGTCGCATGTGAGCCAAGTCCTTTGATGACTTGTGTTGTCACGAGTAGTATCATCATCATCATCTTTGACTCGACAATCCTTTCTGGATCCTGCCCTGCCTCAAAGATTCGTCTAAATTCTGTGCGGTTTCTGACATTTTGCCATCTGATTTTTAATATGCCCAAGTCGGTTTCAACAATATCTAACCATCTAATTCGGGCTCGGCCTTTGCTCCTTCTTCATACAGGTGTTCCTATGGTTGGAACCGCCATCGACGAAAAAAACGCTTCTACATTATACATTATCCTGAATGAAACTTATTCCAGAATTCTGTACCAGGTTATAGAAGTCTAGTAGATGTTTGTGGAATCACCTGGTGTCACCAAAAAGTGTTTTCCGCCTGCGATCAGAACCTCGCAGTCATTCAAAATGTGGTTGTCTGTTTTAGGTTCTCTTCCACAGAGTCGGAAGGTTGTCTCCAGAAAACAGCTTCATTATATACATATGGCCGTTGACTGCCGCATATCCAATAAGGAAGCCTGATATAATTCTGAGCTGAATCCTGGCCGTTTTCTTTTGCTCTACTAGCGCATGTCCGCCCATAATCAGTTTGCTACGTCCTTTTTTCTGTTCTGTTCGATCCAGGCATTTTTTCGGTTGAGGACAGCGCTCTTTGTTGTTCCTAAGACTGGCTCTGGATCTGATCATCTTTTAGCAATTTACTATTTTTATTGGGAATAAGCTACAATTTGATTTTATTTTTATTATTCCCAATAAAAATAGTAAATTAAGGATGCCACAAGAAAATAGTTTTAGAACTCTTTTAGCAATTTGATGAGCTAAATGTTGCCATATTCATTGAAGATCTGTTATGTTTCCAATACTGCGTAGTTCTCGACTCCCTTTGGGCTTCTGAGAGCTTCATAATCGCTTGACTATCTGTGTATATATTGGTCTGCTTGATAAAATTCTTTATCTTAATTTCTCTTGTACAATGCAAAATTGAATAAAGTTCTACCTGGAATAACGAGGTATATTCCCCTAGTGTAATAGAAATGCTTATATTTTCAACACTACTGTAAATTTTTTCACCCGACACTTCTACATTTTTAGATCTGTCTGTGTACCAGGTGTAACACTACAACCTGTGTTGTGTGTTTCCCTGCCCCATTCTTCTCATGGGACGCATACTGTAAACATCTATGTGAGTACCATTTGGTAAGAAGTTATCATCCATACGGTATCCCTAATTTCATGTATGATGTTGCTCTGCGTTTATACCCTGTAGATTAGTTTTTTTTTTCGAGATTTGTTTCATGAATCTTCTGATGTTTTCATATTTCCGATTTGTTTTGGCAATGCTTTTATTTCTTGGCTTTTAATTTTATTATCTTCTGTAATTTTTACGCGAAAATATAGTATGTCTTATTATATTGCATGTTTTCCAATATTATGTATTTTGTCCTTCCTCGATTTATTCTTAGTCTATACTTTATGCCTCCTCCATCATTCTTTGTATTGCGCTTTTTTATGCATTGCAATACACTGACGGTTGTTTCGAAATATTGTTTCTTAATTCTTTTAAAGTGCGTTTAATTATTCTCAAGGTTGCGTTGATAATTCTATTCACGCTCATCCATAGTTCCATTCAAGTAGACAAAAACTAAAATTTATTATTGTGTAAACTTTGTAGTGGCCCGTTTATAGTCCGTTCGTTCAGCTTGGGAATATTTTGACGGAGATTGATTGTTGGAAACAGACATCACAAAAATTCCTACCTCTCACTATTAATAGCTTAAATAAGCTCATTGTTACAGATTTCTGTCATTGAAAAATGAAAAGTAATCGTGTATAATAGTTTATACTTATTAATCTTTATTAGAACTTTCCATTTGTAAATACTAACCTATAATTACATCGTTAATTATAAATACATCGTTATCTAGAGCTGCTAAAGTCACGATAGCGAATATGGTAGCCAACATGATATCCAACGATCGATAACGGTCATGGAACTAGAAGAAGAAGAAGAACCTATAATTGAATAAATGACTACACAATTTCCAAAATAAACATTTCAATTTTTGTTGTATTTATATTGATATATACGCATTCCTCTCTATCTACGAGAATCGTATCCCTCTTGATAAGGCCTCCAAAATGTTCTGCACAACGCGGTTCTGCACCAGAACTTAGTAATTTTCATTTAACTGACCGCGGAAATTTATCCGAACATTGTATTCGCCTCTGCGGAGAGGAATTTATCATTCTTACTAAATCTTTCTTTAATCTTCTAACACGCAAATACCGTCTTCTCTGTGACCTTGCTTTCCTTAAATCGTGTCATGACCATTAAGTCATTCCAAAATCTCTTCAAATTAAACATCACACTAAATCTTCATCAATTTCCAAAATTCTTAGAGCAACTGCTTTTTGGCTTCTTCGAAATTCAATTCATTTCACCCCACGCAACTTAGATACAATAAATTCCCAACTTTTCAAAACCTACAATGACATCCACTCTTTTAATATCCATCCATTATTATGAGACAATTTCGATCGTCTTTCTCACCAAAAAGCCCTACACATTTCTGACAACAAAACTCAAACCCAGAAGCGCAAACTGGACCAAGTTATCTCTAAGCAAAATTCTCGGCCCATTTCGAATCAACAAGTTTCTACTGTTGTTCGCAATTTCTCAGATATTCACATATCCGATTCAGCTTTTTTTTTCTCTCACTCCTCTTTCCATCTCAACTGAGAAAACTATTTGTCAAACTGAAGAAGCTATTCCTCATCTTCCATCCGACCAAGCCGAAGTTGCCAGACAAGATGTCGCCAGAATTCTTCGTACTTTCAAACCCCTACCGTCAAATATCAGTGTTTGAAAAAGGCGTCCCCTCAAAGAACTATATGACAAACCCTGGCATGACAAAGGTAATGCCACCGTCATTCTTAACTCTTCTAATTATTTCGACAAGATGTTCGAACTTGTCAATTCCACAGAATTCAAACGCGTCCCAAACGATCCCACCACTTATCTAGAAAAAACTACCAAATCCGTTATAAATAAGTCAACTCATAAATATAAATAAGTCTATCATTAGCCAAAAACGGCCTTCCAAAAATCCATAAGCCTATTTATCTCAATGAACAGTCACATCATCACCCCATCCAACTCAATTCAGTTATCAACACTCTTATTTCCCGTTCCTTAAGACTTAGCAACAACAATCACAAGTCATCCGAAATCAATTGAATAAGGCAAACACTCTTACAAAACGGCTAACACAGAACCCAAATCAATAGGAGCATTCAAAAACATCTAAACCCCTTTCCATCCAAAAAAGAAACCTTGACGCCGGATCTACCCAAAATCTTACTACCTTTTATTGAAGGTGTCACTGACAGATCATTTATTTCCCATCTTAAATTTTTACGTCTTCTTGGTCTCTTGGTATCTCTTGGATACCACAGTGTAATTCTAGTGGACCATCTATTGTCAGTTCTTCTCGCTAAGTGTCCCACCCACTGCCTTCTTCTTCTTAACGTGCCCTATCAAGTCCCCTTGATGTTGGCGATTAACATGGCGAAACTGTCTC